CTTGGAGGCTAGTATAATGCCTATACCTCCAGCCAACTTTGACTGCTCACAACTTCCTTGGCAGTTCATTTTGCAGTTTTAGTTTTCATATTTGTAATCAGCGTTTGAAGCTCTATCGATATACCTGAGAATCATCTCAAAGTTCCATGGGAAGTTGAATGCCTTTCCTGGTAAAAGTTCTCGTAGCATGTACATCATTTTAGAGAAGATTTTCGCTGCCCTTTCCCTGCGATTTTTTGCAGGACGCGTTGTTCCTTCCCTATGCCATACTGATCACCACGAACCAAACCAACAAACCACTTTCCATTTAAATTTTGATTCCAGAGACAGGTGTAAGATATTATTTGCATTAGGCTAACTACAACACTTGTGAAACTAATGATGACAGCAAATAAGTGGCAGCAGCACCGTTGTGTCCGTTGATGACCCTTTTGATTACGACCCCCTCCCAACTCTCATCGGAGCAAATACGACCCCCTGTCGAGGATTTCCTCGACCGTTATTCACCCTGCCTAGGTCGCTAAAACTAACTGCTAAAGCTTGCAGCTTTGCGGTTCATTGTAATTCAAAAGCCTGCGTGGCTATCAATTCAGCGATTAATACAGAAACATTGAAATATCTCGCAATAATCAAACACCTTCGACTCACCCCCCACTGTACATAGCTTGTAAGAAATCGTCTCTGCAAGAATATGAATACTCATCACCTCATTCTTCATGATTACTTCATTATCAACTGCTGCCAACCTCTCTGACTAAATTCGTTCGATTTTTTAAATATTCAGAGCAAAGCATACTAACTCACTTACTTCCAGCCTTCCCATGTAAGTTCCAAGCCAATCGTGAACTGGAAATCGATATATCTTCCCTGTGTGTAAGTCCTTGATGATGACTCGGTTACAGTACCCCATGATCCCCGTTCTCTACGACCCAGAATTGTCTACCCAGAGCCTCACAAAACGAAGATCTCCGCGAGGCACCTAACAAAAAGTTTTGTTTTTGGTGAAAGTATGAAGTTCCCTTGATATGAGCGCTAACCATGGTGTTCTCAGAAGAGAAACGAGCAGACGTGCCCCATGAGAAAATCGAGGAGTTCCTCTCTATGTGTATAGTTTTGAGCTCACGTGAAACTTCGTCTGCATCAGTTCCGTAAATTGTGATGAATACCTAAACACAAATATTGACACCACTCCCACTTAGGAGTTTTTTTTTTCATTTAGCCTGCTAACCTTTGAATCAGTACTGGCGCACATACGATACCCGGTCTCAACCATGACAATATAGTAGTATACTAAGTCTCCTGGGTTATTATCGGCCATGTTGTATAAGAGGCCCTAAACATATGTAGCTACTACGCTTCTGTAAAGGCAAAAGATGCCGTCTATCATACAACTGACCATTGATGAGTCTGGGGCGGCGGTAGTCTAGTCTCAACGGCTAATTACCATAAGCTCATGGTGACCTGCTGGACGCCTTAGTCCGAAGCGTGCGAAGCATGTGTAGAGGACTCTAGAACCCCTTTCCCCAAGAGTCCAAATCAGAATGGTCCGGGTGAATTTGAACTCACTCGAAGCGTGCGAGACATGAACTAGTGGAGAGGAGTCTGGAACCCCTCCGAAGAGTCCCCAACAGAATTGTCGCACTTTACACTAATAATAATCCACACTTCCGAGTAAGTTCAAACTCACTCGGGTTATCCCACCAAGTGGCTGTTAAAGCACTGGCAGCGCTGCTCTCTGAAAACCAATCACGACAGTCGCAGAAGGAAGGTCGATGCGGCCATATCTAAAAAGTCCCCCGGAGGACTTAGATGGCCTTCAAACTGCCAGTGTGCGTAGGTCAAAGCAGGATGGAGAGAAGGGAAAGAAAACTGCCTTGAATTGATACCTCTATGGTGTAGCGCCTGCGTTCTTCCTTGGCAGTGGATAAATATAGGGGATCAATACTGCGGGTAACCAGGATTGCAACCTTCGTAGGCAATTCTCTTTTTTGAATCGTCATTTAATAGGATCCTTTAAGGCGATAACAATTCGCTCAAGAGACATTGCATCGAAGCAAGCCCATGTCTAGCGCACGTTTTGCAGACAATGTGGGGGGATGCTCGCTCGCCCCCTTTGATCATGGCGGATTGCCTGAGAACGTTCCACTCTCCCAGTGGGAGGGTTGCTGATCAACACTGCGTGAAGTCTAAGATTTGCAAACAACATTCTTTGCTTCCCTGTTGCCAACTCTCTTCCAATGCTGCGGTCAAGTGATCCCCGGTGTATTGACAGGATTGTATCGTCCAGGGTTCAAGTCCGGGGTATCGCAAGTTTTGCAGGTGAAGGTGGCGAGGCTGGCGGTTGCAACTAAGGTCATGTCCATGTGTTCCACGTTCCTTACACTTCGTCAATAGGAAAAACATCACTACACTTGACTGTTAGTTTAGGGTACCTTACTACTGTCCCGAGTTTCTTACAGGTTATTTTTGCATTCTCCACGTATAGCCGAGAAGCAGTGTTTGCATCAAGCTATGCTTACCCGATCCAAATCCATAACTTGTTGATTCAAGCCACAAATGACCACCAATACCATGTGTATGCTGAGGAAAAACACAATCATGGCAGCAGTGACATTTGGCTGAAAGGGGGGAAATTTTGCATGGATTTCACTATTATTTTCGTGTACGTGGACGAACCAGCTTGTGCTGGACGACGTATTCATAGGAAAAGTGACCCTCTGCCACAGGATTAAAGAGACCGACGAAGAATGTGGTGAGATGATGAATCGAACACTGCACGATTTTACTGCCATAAAATGGTGCGGCCTGAAATGTACTGCAAACACCTGGCATACAGACAGGCTAATAGTAATAGTAAGATAGAAGGATTGATGGATATATGTATCGGTGAGAAAATCTTGAGTTAGTTGGCATCCGCCCGGCGAATTACTCGGTCAGGGAAAGTAAGGAAAATATACCCCAGGATAGCGGATCTCACCACCAAGTGGGAGAAACGCTGAAGACAACGGAGAACACCCGCAGAGACATTTGATCGGGTAGTCATAAATTGTTTCGACCCTTTCAGGCTCTGAAGAAGGCGATCCTCGCCGAAACGTAAGCCAAATAAAAGTTGTTTGCCAACCTCGTGAGGAGCTTCAAAGAAATAACAACAAGCTGACAACTCCCCCCGGAGGAAGGTGGGTGACGAACAGATGTGAGACAACAGGCAGACAGACAGACAGACAGACAGACAGACAGACAGACAGACAGACAAAGACAGACAGACAGACAGACAGACAGACAGACAGACAGACAGACAGACAGACAGACAGACAGACAGACAGACAGACAGACAGACAGACAGACAGACAGACAGACAGACAGACAGACAGACAGACAGACAGACAGACAGACAGACAGAAATACGACAGCGCATGACTTCTTGACTGAATAAACGACACAATTACTGGAAAACACCTTCATAAAACTATTGGATAAAAGGATAACGCATAGGAAAGAAAAAATCTGGAAAGAAATCTTTAAAAAAAATCATGCGAAAGTGACATTACGCATAAGAAAATGGGCACAACAGAGCACGAAAACGCACGGGAAAAGCACAAAACGTGCGCAAGTCACTACGCAACAAGTAGTTTAGTGATAACTCACGACGTCATGGACGTTATCTATTCGATCAGTGCTGTTCCGATAGAAGTAGCAGCCTTTAGTAAGTACTCGAACATTGAAATTGAACTCGAAGTCTAAATGAACTATGAATTAGCCGACAAATTTTGGAGAGGTAAGCCTTAGAGAAGTGATAAACCTCGAATGAAACACCAGTTGCCATCGCTGATTCCGGGAGGTGGCTCGTACTTGACGCACTTCTTTCCGTTTTTATCTACCATTCCAATTCCGACGTAGTAAAGGCCAGTCTTATTATGGAGTTTGCCGACTGGTAGATAGATAAAATTGGAACCTACAAGTAGCTATCATTACAGAAAACTTCCAAAAGATCGATAAGTACAGTGCGCGTCAATTGCTATATGCCACCCCTGATTTTTTCAGTTTTCTGACTTATTTGGAAATTTCGTAAATCGGCATAGCAACCATCGTTTTCGGCGTGTCGGAAAACTAAGAATGGTGTTGTTTGATTTTGGTTAACGCGTGGATTTGAATTGCTCTGTTCTTTTGAAGAAAATGGGCCGCGTCAATTGCTTATGCCATCCTAAAGTTTCTTCAGAATTTCTCATGTCTCTAACGCTATTCAGCTACGGTGTGCATGTAATACAAATGAGGAAATCCTCCACTTATGCAATGCACACAAATGGTGAAGCATTTATAACTAATTAGTTCGGAATATTAGCCCTTATACTGGACGGTAGCAGCATGAAAACGCTTTATCAGAGAAAGAGCTGTGTGCTCACTTTTGCGATCGCTCCTGCTGCTTATTGTAGAACTCATCGAGGAGTGTATCCAGGCAAAACTGGGGAAATTGAAGTGCTCAAGGAGCTCTTAAATTCTCATTTTCCCGCTTCGAATCCGTGGTCAACTTTATTTGTGGTCTTGGCTCCCTGCGAAGCTCGAAGCGTTCACGCTCACAAAGTCTCTGTTCAGAGAGAATATGAGTCGCACCTACAATCCGCGTAGTACCCATC